AATTAATAACAAACAGTCCCCCTCAATGCGTCCACTGAAGGCGCTCTGGGAGGAGGAATTGAATTTGTCACTTGACTTTTCTACACTCATGGGACTTCTTTACTGTCTTGACATAGACTATCCCAAGAGACTGAAGTACACATTTGAGATGATACAGAAAGTTTTCATGGGCATTGACAGTGGCAATTGTTCTGCGAAAGTTCATGGACTCCCCAACAAGTTGCTTCAAGACAAAGTGTAGTGGTAAGTTGGTTAAGTTAATAGCAGCGATTACTGTTTCAGATGGTAGAGTTGGTTGGTTAAGAGTTTCACACGTTCTTACTGTGTGAACACAACATCACACCACCATTTCCACATAATACATGGTTAGAATACTAAACAAAAAGCTTCTCCAAGTTACAGAAAAGTTTAATGTATTTGTTCTAAAAAGGTTATGTAGTATGTCATTAAATTTAATTAATCTAAGAGGTAATTAGCTACCAAAACTATTGTTATGTACTACAGTAGTTTTTTTTTTTTTTTAGATAATTGTTCCACAGAAACATGTCAATAGGAAATGTCAATGTTCTTTGTTTTTTAAAAGTAGGGTGTTTTAATACTAAACACAATAATGCTATATTGGGATACTGTCAAATTTCGAAATCAAATAAAATAGCATTCTGCATGGTCTTCAGTGTCCATGAGCCATTTTTATGCAGTACTATTAGAAAATAGAAACTTAAGCTGTGTGGGCAAATTACGTATTTCAGCCTGTTGAATGAACTTAATATTACAAGTGTCACGATCTGCACAGGGACACGAAGATTGAGGATCCAAATGCAGTTTATTTCAGGGGTAATCCAAAACTGTAATCCATAAACAGGCATAAGGCCATAAACAGGGTAGTCAGTCCAAACAAATACAAACAGGGCAGAAAACTTTAGACAATAAGAACGACCAGGAAACCAGACAAATATATAAACCCCAACAAAGGAACCAGAATACAAGGACTAAGAACCGCAGAGTGACACTTTCAAGACTAAGCAATGAATGAGTGAAAAACCAGGCTTTAAATAGGGTGAGACTGATGGGGTGATGAGATACAGGTGATTGCAATGGGTGCTGAGTCCGGGCAATGTATTATGGTAAATGTAGGCTGTGAGAGTGGCAAGAGTCAGGGGTGGAGTG